CTGTAAACGTGATCAAGTGGACGTCAGGCTCTGTAAACGTGATCAAGTGGACACCAGGCTCTGTAAACGTGATCAAGTGGACGTCAGGCTCTGTAAACGTGATCAGGTGGACGCCAAGCTCTGTAAACGTGATCAGGTGGACGCCAGGCTATGTAAACGTGATCAAGTGGACATCAGGCTCTGTAAACGTGATCAGGTGGACGCCAGGCTATGTAAACGTGATCAAGTGGACATCAGGCTATTTAAACGTGATCAATTGAACGCCAGGCTCTGTAAACGTGATCAGGTGGACGCCAGGCTCTGTAAACGTGATCAAGTGGACATCAGGCTATTTAAACGTGATCAAGTGAACGCCAGGCTCTGTAAACGTGATCAGGTGGACGCCAGGCTATGTAAACGTTATCAAGTGGACGTCAGGCTTTGTAAACGTGATCAAGTGAACGCCAGGCTCTGTAAACGTGATCAAGTGAACGTCAGGCTCTGTAAACGTGATCAAGTGAACGCCAGGCTCTGTAAACGTGATCAAGTGGACGTCAGGCTCTGTAAACGTGATCAAGTGGACGCCAGGCTATGTAAACGTGATCAAGTGGACGTCAGGCTCTGTAAACGTGATCAGGTGGACGCCAGGCTATGTAAACGTGATCAAGTGGACGTCAGGCTCTGTAAACGTGATCAGGTGGACGCCAGGCTATGTAAACGTGATCAAGTGAACATCAGGCTATTTAGACGTGATCAAGTGAACGTCAGGCTCTGTAAACGTGATCAGGTGGACGCCAGGCTCTGTAAACGTGATCAAGTGGACATCAGGCTATTTAAACGTGATCAAGTGAACGCCAGGCTCTGTAAACGTGATCAAGTGGACGTCAGGCTCTGTAAACGTGATCAGGTGGACGCCAGGCTATGCGTAAATGATCAGGTGGACGCCAGGCTATGTAAACGTGATCAAGTGAACGCCAGGCTATTTAAACGTGATTAAGTGGACGCCAGGCTCTGTAAACGTGATCAAGTGGACGCCAGGCTATTTAAACGTGATCAAGTGAACGCCAGGCTCTGTAAACGTGATCAGGTGGACGCCAGGCTATGTAAACGTGATCAAGTGGACGCCAGGCGAAAACAAACGAAAACCAGACCAAAAACAGACTAAAACACACGAAAACAAACGAAAACCCACGGGGGAAAAAAAAAGATCCTCTCTTTACACCCATTAAAAAAATATATATATTCATCTCACCCATTATAGTAAAATGATTCTATCAGGATATGTAGTTTGTCGCCTTCAGGGCTCCAGGGAGAGAGAGAGAGAGAGAGAGAGAGGAGAGAGAGAGAGAGAGAGAGAGAGAGAGAGAGAGAGAGAGAGAGAGAGAGAGAGAGACCTCCCCAAGGTAAGCAACCTGCTGCTCTTGTGCCAGCCAAACGCGTAATATATAACATAATATCAACTTTGACATTTTGTGATAATATAACTACTCTGTTTATCTTCTGCTTTATAAGACGATATGAAAAATCCAACACACACACACACACACACACACACACACACACACACATCCTTGACCACCGAAGGGTCAAGACGTACCTGGCGCTCCTCTCAGAGCAGCCAGGTCAACTGTTATGTTGGCCCATACCAACTCCCTCCCCTGAACCCTACTCCCCACCGGAATATCAACAAGTTCACGCCAGAAGTTACTATTTCATTTAGGAAAGAAATGGAACCAGTGTCAAACAGAGGTGAACAGTGGTGAACAGTGCTTAAGTCAGTGAGAACAACTCAACAGTAACAGTGGTACCCAAGTTGACCTTTCACACAGTGAGGTCCCAGGTACCCAGTGATAACGGCCTGTGAGACCCAACTACCAGCGATGTGTTAATCCGTCTACGATAGGAAGGCCTGGAACCACACCTCACTCATATAACACCATCTGTGAGGGAATTACTGCACCACGTGAGGCCCCTCATAACACCATATGTGAAGGAGTTACTACACCACGTGAGGCCCCTCATAACACCACCTGTGAGGGAATTACTACACCACGTGAGGCCCCTCATAACACCATCTGTGAGGGAATTACCACGTGAGACCCCTCATAACACCATCTGTGAGGGAATTACTACACCACGTGAGGCCCCTCATAACACCATCTGTGAGGGAATTACTACACCACGTGAGGCCCCTCATAACACCATCTGGGAGGGAGTTACTACACTACGAGTTTGCTGTTCAACACCTACATTAATCTGTATGTTCACTGTATGTTCCTTCACCATTCTCTAATGAAGGCTTTTGTTAAACCACCAATGTATGTAATAAGTCATTTATGCCCAATGTATATTTTCAGCCTTCGGGCTGCAGAACTTTTTCAATAAACCGTTAATTATTATTATTATTATTATTGTTATTAGGAACACACACACACAGCCATACACACACACACACACAGAGCAGCGTTGTTAAGCTCCACGGAGATTTTATTTATCGTTTGTACAGTATGTTTTAGAAGGAAAATAGTGTGTGTGTGTGTGTGTGTGTGTGTGTGTGTGTGTGTGTGTGTGTGTGTGTGTGTGTGTGTGTGTGTGTGTGTGTGTCTTGTTGTGCTCCTCTGACTTGCTGCCATTTGACTTTTGGAGATTTTAATGGCATTGAGTTCAGTTTGATTGGTGGTGGTGGTGGTGGATGATGGTGTGGTGGTGATTATGGTGGTGGTGGTGGTGGGTGATGGTGGTGGTGATGATGATCGTGGTGATGATGTTATAGTGATGATGGTGGTGGTGGTGATGATGGTGGTGATGATGTTTATAGTGATGCTGGTGGTGTTAGTGATGATGATAGTGGTGATGATGGTGATAGTGATGCTGATGGTGGTGATGGTGGTGGTGATAGTGATGCTGATGGGGTTGATGCTGATGGTGTTGGAGATGCTTGATGGTGGTGGTGATTAATAGCAGTGTTGGCGATTCTTAACCTATCTGTCGTAGCAAAAACATCAACATACATATAAATATAAAGGAATATTGACCTTTGTTAACACATACCACAGTAGTACAGTGAATTACGTTGATCACCGGAAGACCATGAGAGAGATTGGAAGGGGAGGAGTGAGGGGATAGGGGGAGGGGAAGGGGAAGGAGGGGTGAGGGGAGAGGGGGAGGGGAAGGAGGGAGGGTGTGAGGGGAGAGGCACACATACACACACTTACTATTCTTTCTAGAGTAAATAGATGTGTCCTGTCATGATGCTCCTCGTACAAAATATGAAGGACTCTCAAGACATCCTATCTGGCTTCACTCCTTCTGTACCACCATCCACCATCACCACCCAACACCACTACCCACCACTACCCACCACCATCACCACCATCACCACCACCACCACCATCGCCACCCACCATCACCACCCACCACCCACCACCACCAACACCATCACCACCACCATCACCACCCACCACTACCCACCACTACCCACCACCATCACCACCATCACCACCCACCATCACCACCACCACCACCACCACCAACCACCATCATTACCACTCCAAGCACTGCCACTACCACCTACCACCACTCAACACCACCAATACCAGTCTACCACCCAACCACCATCACCACTCAACACCACTACCACCGCCCACTGCACAGATAGAGAGAGAGAGAGAGAGAGAGAGAGAGAGAGAGAGAGAGAGAGAGAGAGAGAGAGAGAGAGAGAGGAAAATGCGTCACTTCTTTGGACATATTCATCTCGCTCCACCTGAAGGATTTTAACACATCTGTCTCGCCGTGTTTATCGTAAGCAACATCTTTTAAGTTATACATGCAAGCCGAGGACACCAGTGTGCGTGCGTGCGTGCGTGCGTGCGTGCGTGCGTGTGTGTGAACCCAGACTCTGAACCTCCAATAGAAACATCAACATGAACCTAACCTAACCTGCCCTACCTTGCCCTACCCTACCCTACCCTACCCTACCCTATCTTACCTTACCTTATCTTACCTTATCTTACCCTGCCTTACCTTAACCCCTCAGGTAACATGAGAGTAATTAATCAACAACAATTTAATAATAATAATAATGATGATAATAATGATAATAATAATGATAATAGTAACGATAATAATGATGATGATGATGATAATAATAATAATAATAATAATAATAATAATAATAATAATAATAATCTAGAATGGCTAATCTTCATAATATGATCCGTAACAGCCTACATTGTAAGTCCAGTTCATGATTCATCCAGTATTAACAACAATAACAACTACCACGTGAGGTCGTTAGATTATCCAGGTCAGGTAAACAACATAGGTGAGCTTACGTCCCTATATATGGCTGGCAAAGGTTGTGTTTTACCTGAACATGATCATCGTGTTGGTAATTAAATAAGAAAAAACCCGTTTGTGGTTTTTTTTTTTTTACTTTCACTGTCGGGGACTTTGTGTTGATATGACTTGACCTGATATGATCTTGTGTAATATGACTTGACGTGAGATGACTTCTTGATTTTACCTAACATGAGATGACTTGACCTAATAACATAATAATAATAACAACAATAACAATAATAATAATAACAACAATAATAACATAAATGATAATAACAATAATAATAATAACAACAATATTAACATAAATAACAACAATAATAACATAAATAATAACAACAGCACAAATATGACCTCTTGCGTATATTCCCACCTCCCTGCCCCTTCCCACTCAGCCCATCAGAAGACCTGACCACACACACACACACACACACACACACACACACACACCTGTAACGCTTCAGTGACCTTATCCTCATAGCAGAAGAACACCTACCAAACCACTCCCTTATGGCCTCGTGCCAGCCATTCTCTCCCAGTTTTAGTACATCCTGTCGTAATGGGTGTCCCGGTTCGTGTCCCGGTTCAGCCCAGTTATCTACCAGCTTTTAGTATATCCTGTCGTAATGGTGTCCCGGTTCGTACCCAGCTATCTATCAACTTTAGTACATCCTGTCGTAATGGGTGTCCTGGTTCAGCTCCCGGTTCAGTGCCCAGTTATCTACCAACTTTTAGTATATCCCGTCGTAATGGGTGTCCTGGTTCGTGCCCCGGTTCGTGCCCAGTTATCTACCAACTTTTAGTATATCCTGTCGCATGTGTCCCGTTCGTGCCCCGGTTCGTACCCAGTTATCTATCAGGTGTCTTTTTCGTGGTAATGTGACCTGTGACCCAGTGGCTTATCCCTGGGGCACTGACCTAGGGTGTGTGGTCTGGTAAATCTTTGGTACGTCATTGATTTGTTGTTGATTAATTTATAGAGTACACACACACACACACACACACACACACACACACACACTAGATTACTTAACATAAAATTTAACTTAACTTATCTTAGCCTAACGTAATCTAATTAAACATAACCTAACTTACTTAGAATTTTCCTAAGTTACCCTTAAACATAACGAAACCAAGAATTATCACATTCTATACATACATTAAAGTGAAAGTGTGTAACGCGAGAGAGAGAGAGAGAGAGAGAGAGAGAGAGAGAGAGAGAGAGAGAGAGAGAGAGAGAGTATTTCAGGCTTACGTTATCAAACTAACCAATTAAGGCCACAGATACAACGAATTCCATCCTTAACTAATACAAATAAACCATAATATACTTATACATCTATATATATGACACAACGGACGAAGAATTTTGACAACCCTACCGAGAAAACAGGAGTCGTAGTGTTCATTCTGAAATTCATCGACCCTCCCCCACCCACCAACCCCTCCAAGTTGAGTTTTGTTTCGAGTGACTGTACGTACGGCCTCTAGTCAAACAGCTGGCAAGTTTCACCCTCTCTTGGGCTATCCTGATGAGGCGACGTGCTGACCTCATTCTCCCGGCAACTGTACTATCTCACCCCGCAAAGTTTACTTGACATAAGCGTAAGGAATCTGGTCCATTTGTTACACTGTTCACCGGACGACAAAAACTAGTCCGCACCTTGCCCTGGTGACTAGAGGAGAGGAAGAATAACAGAAGGGAAGAAATGTGAGGAGGAGGAGGAGGAGGAGGAGGAAGAAGAGGACGAGTTGAAGAAGGAAGAGGAGGGAAAGAAGAGAAGAAAGAGTAGAGGAGGACCAGAGGAAGAGTTACTTTCTCTCTCAATCTCTCGCTTCCCTTTTTGTTGACGCCTGAACCTCCTCCGTACAGTGCCTCTCCAGCGTATATTGTAGGTGGTGGCTGGGCAAGGTCTGTGTGTGTGTGTGTGTGTGTGTGTGTGTTGTAATAGACCCTCGACCTAATACGCCCCTGTAGACCTTGTTATTGTTGCACAGTTCTAATAGACGCTAATAGACCCCTTGTAGTACTAGGCCTCTTGCACTAATAGACCCCTTGTACGCAAAGGGTTTGTATTATAGTACTCAAGGGGTTAAGTCATCGTGCACCAAAGGGGGTTAAGTCATCGTGCACCAAAGGGGGTTAAGTCATCGTGCACCAAAGGGGGTTAAGTCATCGTGCACCAAAGGGGGTTAAGTCATCGTGCACCAAAGGGGTTAAATCATCGCGAACAAAAGGGGGTTAAGATATTTTATTCATTATACTCCGGGGTTTAATATTTCGATATCGTTGCGTTATCCTCTGGTTATTGAAAAACACGCGAGGGAGACAGACAGATAGACAGACAGACAGACAGAGAGAGAGACAGAGAGAGAGAGAGAGAGAGAGAGAGAGGGGAGGGGGGTAACACACAACTGCAACGAGCCACAACCAAAACCCCCCTTTGCTGGCACCTACAGACAGCCAATACATCTCACCTGCATTACATCAGAGGCCACGTATTAAACAACAGCCTCTACTCTACTCATTAATATGTTGACGTGTGTGTGTGTGTGTGTGTATTGTACATTCGCTGGGTATTGATACGGGTGCTTTCCGAGCCAATATTGGAAAGGCTTGTTCTGCATTCAGGTTGTTTTTGGAAAGGCTTGTTCTGCATTCAGGTTGTTTTTAAGTATACGTAAGGTGTGAATTTGAACTAGTATGGGGGTGTGTGTGGGGGAGGGGATCTGTGTGTTTGTGTGTGTTGGGGGAGGATCTGTGTGTTTGTGTGTGTTGGGGAGAGGGGTGTGTGTGTGTGTTGGGGGGAGAGGGTGTGTGTGTGTGTAGAGAGGGGTGTGTGTGTGTGTGTGTTGGGGGAGAGGGGTGTGTGTGTGTGTGTGTGTGTAGGGGGAGAGGGGTGTGTGTGTGTGTGTGTGTGTCGGGGGCATATGTGTAATAATAATAATAATAATAATAATAATAATAATAATAATAATAATAATAAACGGTTTATTAATAGAGTTGCAGCCGGTGGCTGAAAATATACAGACTTACATTTGATTTAAACATAATGATATAATATGCATTGAATACATTTACAGGGCTGTACAGTACATACATCAGGAGTTGTTTAGTATTTTAACAATAGATGGGATGGTGCTGTTCTTATATCTATCGGTGCGGGCTCTTAAGGGCTGAATTTTGTTGTAGTGGCGGACTGCGCTAGGTGGGCGTGGGGCTGCCGGTGGCAGGAGGTGGCGATGACGAGGGTGGTGCATTAATTGGCTGCCAAACCTTTCCAGTGCTTGGTGGTGGAGGTCACTGGGGTATGGCATTTCCAGAGTGGAGAGAGCGTTGGTGTAGCCGGAGTATTCTGAGCCAAGCATGATTCTGCAGGCCCTTTTCTGTACCTTCTCTAGCTGACGTTGTTGGGTGGAGTTGAGAGAAGATGACCAGGCTGGTGACGCATACGTTAGTTTGGGGAGAATAAAGGCGTTGTAGATAGTCCTCAGCTCTGGCGTGGGTGTCCCAAGTGACCTAAGTCGTCGTAGCATGTAGAGACGGTACGAGGCTGCCTTGACTGTGTTATATACATGGGCCTTCCAGTCAAGTTTGTTGTCTATAGTTACACCCAGGAGTTTGGCAGACTGCACCAGCTGGAGAGGATGGGCACCCACTGTGACTGGAGTGGTAGCGGTATTGATGTGCAGACTACGGTTTTGGTGTTGTTGATGGTGACCTTGTTCTCCGTAGTCCATGCCTGTAGCCTGTCCAGGGTGCCTTATAGCGATGAGTAGTCTGGTGCGGTGTTGTCCAATGAAACCCCCACAGTGCAGTCATCCACGTACTTCCACCTGTGAGGAGTGTCCGATAGAGCGTCGTTGATCAGGATGAGGAAGCACAGTGGTCCCATCTTGGTCCCCTGGGGAACACCGCAGGTGAGGTGTTGGAATGTGGAGACCGAGCCCTGATACTTCACTGCCTGGCGACGTCCACTCAAGAAATCAGTGAGCCATGAGACCAGGTTGGTGGGCAGCCCGGGTGCAATAGCCTTGTTCATAACAGTGCAGTGATCAACAAGGTCAAAGGGCTTCCTGAAGTCAACAAGGGCAACGGCCAGTGATGTCTTACGTTTCTGCAATTTTTTGCGGAAAATCCAGAAAGCTCACCAAGCAGTGTGATGTAGAGGAGGTCCTCATATTGCCAAATTGCTGTGGATCAATTGACTGATAGATTCTGCAATGCCCACTCAAAGAAAAAGTCCTCACAAAGCAGACTGGGTATGGGGGTAATGGCAACTGGCCTGAGGTCGTTAGGAGACTGTGGGGTGGTGACCTTGGGGATGGGGGTGACAAATGGGTTTCCATTCATTAGGGCATTTGCTTTGTCTGAGGATGCATTAATAATAGAACAGAGGAGGGTGGCAAGTTTTTATGGGTATGTATATGAGGAGGAATATTGTGGGGGGCTGTGTGTGTGGGGGCTGTGTGTTTGTGTGGGGGCTGTGTGTGTGTGTTTTCCAGTGCTTGGGTCATTTCTACACTAACTTATATCAAATTTCTCTGTTAGTCTAAGGGTTGATGTTAAGGTGAAATGGTAGAGGGTAATCCGTTATATCGAGTTCCGTTAGATACGAAACCTCCATATAACGGACTCTACTCGCTTCACCTCCACCCTCATAGTATTTAAAGGGATAAACTTTTTGTACTCAAGGGCTTAAGTCATTGTACGCAAGGGATAAAGTTCTTGTACTCAAGAGTTAAATCATCGTATATAAGGTATCTAATTATTGTACTTGTTTAATCATCGTACTCAAAGGGTAAAATTACCATGTACTCAACGAATTAAAGTACCATAATCACCAAACTTAATACATTGTACTCATAACCTTAACATCGTATACTACACTCACTTAAAAAAAAAAATATCTATACAAAATTACGTTGATAAAATATGACACAACGGACGAAGGAGTTTTGACAACCCCTACCGAGACAACAGGAGTCACAGTGTTCATTCTTAAATACATCGATCACCACCAAGTTTAGAGATAGTTATTTGAGTGATTTATAAACTCTCTCGGCCCATTACTAACATAACCAGTTTCTTTTTACCAATGCTTCAGACACAAAACAAAAATAACTTGGGTTCAGAGTCCTCTAAACATCAATTATATTATTAGTCACACATGGAAAAGACCCGGTGTGTTAGTTTAGCTGTTAAATATTGTATGTTAAATATTGTATGTTTAATGTTGTTAATGTATGGCTGAGAAATAGGTGCGGTTGGGCTGGGTTGGGTTTGATATGAGTGATATTTTTCACGTTTAGGGTTCGGAGGGTTCGGATTTGGGGTTCGGGGAGTCGGGGTTCGGTAGCAGGTGTTCAGAAGCGACGAACCCGCCAGACACACACACAGACCCACCATATGAGGCATCGAGTCACTTTCACGCCACGTTGCCTCCTTAAACTCGAGTTGACTTCTCTTCCTTCTTCGTTATTACTATTATTATTATTATCAACGTCAACGGGAATCCTCAAACAATCCTTACCGTTGGTCTGTTTGTTTTGTTTTGTTTGTTTACTCTACAGGAAGTATCACAATGTCTATGATGCTTAAGGGTCATTGTCCCATACATTTGAGATAAGCTTTTGCCTTTATCATTCCACGTTGTTTTATTATTCGACCAAATTCGACAATTAGGTTGATTTGTTGATTGTTTTTAATGCGTAAAATGTAAGGTATTTTATTAGTTGATTGACCTTGTTTATGTGTTTGTGTAATGTGTTTTGTAACTCCTTGTTGTTTGACTGACTGATTGGCTGACTGGTCGTGTCTTTTGATTGGTGAAGTTCGATTAGAGGTCAAGATCACAGGGTCACAAGGTCAAGATCACAGTCTGAGCTAGTCACAGGGTCACAAGGTCAAGATCACAGGGTCATCAAGGTCAAGATCACAAGGTCACAAGGTCAAGATCACAGGGTCACAAGGCCAAGATCACAGGGTCTGAGCTAAGATCACAGGGTCACAAGGTCAAGATTACAGGGTCACAAGGTCAAGATCACAGGGTCACAAGGTCAAGATCACAGGGTCACAGGTCAAGATCCCGAGTCAAAGGCTAAGATCAGGGGTCACGGTCAAGATCACGGGTCACAGGTCAAGATCACAGGGTCACAAGGTCAAGATCACAGTCAGGGTCAAAATCAGGGGTCACAAGGTCAGGATTACAGGGTCACAGGTCAGATCACAGGGTCATAAATCACTCAATCGACTTTATATAACTATTTTATACATTCGGTTGAGGTACACACGTCTTCCTGGTGTATAAGTAATGCCTCACCCTCCCTCCGTCATGCCCTCCCTCCTGCGTCACCTCCCTCTTGCGTCACCCTCCCTCCTGCGTCCCTGCGTCACCCCCTGCGTTACCTCTCCGTTACCCCTCCCTCCTGCGTCACCTGCGTCACCCCCCGTTACCCCCTCCGTTACCCCTCCTCCTGCGTCACCCTCCCCTCCTGCATTACCCCTCCCTTCTGCGTCTCTCCTCCTCTCCTCCCCTTCCCCTTCCTATCGCCCCCAGCACTGGGCGTATCTTATAGGTCAATCTTTCTCATGTCCAATCGAGGTCACTCATAGGTCAAAGGTCACTCCGGTTTTAAGTTGTCGCTATTTAAGATTTCAGATAAGTTCCACGATTTCCTCTATTGTCGACCTTGGAAACCTGTCTTGGTCGGGGTCAAGGTCAGCTAAGGTGAAAGTCACGCGTCCAAAGGTCATTTAGGTTGGTTTTGAAGCTTCGAGACCCTGGGGACTGAAATGCTTCGGTGTTTCATTTGAGGACTCGTGTTGAAGGATCTGTGGAAGGATTTAATTAACTTCTGTGGTTCTGACTGTCCATTGATTTAGACGGAACAATTAACTGGTTCTTAACTGTCAACTACCCCCGATTAACTGTAAGATTGATTTATTAAGAGTGGATGGTGGGTTGATAACAGACTTGACTGACTGACTGACTGACTGACTGACTGACTTACTGACTGACTGAAGCACATCAAATTGGACGTAATTGTAAACACCACCGAGTATATTATATAGGGGTATTAGTATAGGTTTCCTCCCCTCCCCATCTCGTCCTCCTCCCGTTCCATTTTCTCCTCTCCTCTCCCTCCTTCCCTCCTTCATCTCTTCCAATCGTTCTCTTTTCTCCAGTTCCTTCCTATCCCCTCAATGTCTCCCTTTTTCACCCTCAATTGTCCCTTTCCCTTCCCTCAATTACTCCCTCCCATCCCCTCCCTCCAATCCTTCCATTTCCTTCCTCCCATTATCCTCCTCTCTTTCCCTTCCCATAATCCCCCCCCTTTTCTCCGTTCCTCCTTCATCCAATCTTCCCTTTCCTCCCCCCTCTCTATTATCCATCCCTTCCTTCTCCTTCTCCTTTTCACCTTTCAACCTTTCCTCTATGTGCCAAGTCTCTCCTTCCTCCCAACTGCCAGGTCTAACGACACTCTCACCCCAGGCTCCTGCAGGACTGTCCTAATGGGCGTCAACCTAACTTACCTTGCCTCCAACTATGGTATGGCCTCGCCCACCACCACAACACTGACCCGGCGAGCGATGGTGGTGGGTGGGGTGGACTCCTTTGAGTATGGTGGGTTCCTTTTACGATTTCGGTGGGGGCTCATTTTACGTGTTAGGTGGGTGGTCATTTTACGAGTTAGGTGGGGGGCTCATTTTACGAGTTAGGTGGGGGGTTCATTTTACGAGTTCGGTGGGGGTCATTTTACGAGTTAGGTGGGGGTCATTTTGAAGTTTGGTGGGGTTCATTTTACGATTTCCCTTACTTGGTGACCTGCCAAGATTGACCAAGACAACGACAGGAGGGAAAATAACCGGGTTGAGGGAAAGTGATGTCAAGTCAGATTATCTAGATACAGGTGACGTGAGATATTGTTTCCCTGTAAGAATGAATAGAATGATTAATGGAGGAATTTTTTTGTCATTGTGTGATGAATGATAAATGAATGATTCTGTATAAAAGAAGGATTTTTTTTAATCGCCTAAACTGTAAGAATGATGATTTAGGATTTTATACACACTTAGAATGGGGGGATTGTGAGTTTTTTACACGTTAGGATTATATAAATTATCATTCTAGAAGCATTGGGAGAGATTATTATGATTCTGTGAACACGAAGAATGATGATTGTGAGTCTCGACGATATAATAATGATGAGTATGATTGTCAACATACTAAGAGGTATTGAAGTGAATGATAAGACAGTATGGATGATGGGGTATCTCGTATGATAACTGTGTAAATATTTTGTTTTGAGGTGATGTTAAAAATTACGTTGAGAAATAATGTTACTACTACTACTACTACTACTATTACTACTATTACTACTACTACTACTACTACGTGTCCTCCATCCTCCCCAAATAGCCACAACGCGCCATTTTATTACGTTAAAATTAAATATCCTAATACATAAGTAGCTATCCTATCTGTGTTAGATTAGTTGAGCCGCATATCTATGCGGCATTCAGTGACTGTTGCCTCATAGTCAATATCTGCAACTGTTGTCGGCTTTGGGGCGGATATGCCCGTTCTGAGGCAGAGCAAATAGACCTAAGGAGAGGACAGTCGACTTCTCATTCAGGCAACATAACTGGGCTGCTGCTTCTGTTCGGAGAGCACCTCCGCAGGTCTGGCGTAGAAGCATCTTGCACTTGGTCTCATCCCACCAGAGGTTGTGAACACCAAGTGGCTGCCGATCAACGTTCTAATTCTCTCCCCGCGCCCTATCTTGTCGTTCTCGTTCCTCCTGTGTGCAACATCGAGAGCTGAGTTACGGTGACAGCCATGGAATAAAAAATCCTGGTGTCAGCTCACTGTCCCGTCCAGAATCCTCGAGCACTGACGTCAACACGGGCTTCGTTAGATGTTTTAAGGTCCTATGTTGGAAGATCTCACCTTCCAAAGGAAGGAGGTCGTTACCATGACATCCCGGCATATTTCCTTCAACATATTTGTGTGAGGTCCTTACTTCGTCATGCCTCATGCATATGAAGCCTTTCTTGCACACCATGGCGTGATCGCCGTCATGGAAGAGCCCACACGTATTGGGAGGGCAAACCTTCTACTGGCCGACCGTACCTTAACAATGGCATCTGTAAATTTGTTTGTTAAGACTGAAACCATTTGCTTATCGGTAACGTAGTTAACCACTTCGAGGCGCCCACCTTCTGCGCTATAGCTACTTTTTTTTTAAATTTTCTGGAACCTGCAGCAACAGTTGCTGCAACTTATCATTTTGGCAGTGCTGTCGATCTGTCGTAATAGACCTACGAATCTCGTTTACTTCACTGGTCTCGACCTACTATTACTACTACTACTACTCTGACATAACCCCCCGAAAAAAACCTGTACTTTATAAATTATGTAAAAACAAAACGTACTCACTTTATATAAACAAATTCAAAGTTGATTATTCATATTCAGGTTTTTAATTAATTTTTTATACCAAGAGGTGACTTGGATCTCACAAGGCTGTGTAGTTTATTTTAATTATTATTTTTATTAGCCAGAAGTTGTGTGTAACATGACCAACAATCAGGACCTCGTTCTTGTGTGTGTGTATGTGTGAGTGTGTGTGTGTGTGTGTGTGTGGTGTGGTGTGTGTGTGTGTGTGTGTGTGTGTGTGTGTGTGTGTGTGTGTGTGTGTGTGTGTGTGTGTGTGTGTGTGTGTGTGTGTGTGTGTGTGTGTGTGTGTGTGTGTGTGTGTGTGTGTGGTGTGTGTGTGTGTGGTGTGTGTGTGTGTCTGTGTGTGTGTGTGTGTGTGTGTGTGGTGTGTGTGTGTGTGTCTCTGTGTGTGTGTGGTGTGTGTGTGTGTCTGTGTGTGTGTGTGTGTGAGGTGTGTGTGTGTGTCTGTGTGTGTGTGTGTCTGTGTGTGTGTGTGTGTGTGTCTGTGTGTGTGTGTGGTGTGTGTCTGTGTGTGTGTGTGTGGTGTGTGTGTGTGTGTGTGTGTGTGTGTGTGTGTGTGTGTGTGTGGTGTGTGTGTGTGTCTGTGTGTGTGTGTGGTGTGTGTGTGTGTGTGTGTCTGTGTGTGTGTGTGGTGTGTGTGTGTGTGTCTGTGTGTGTGTGTGTGTGTGTGTGTGTGTGTGTGTGTGTGTGTGTGTGTGTGAGTGTTAATAATAATAAATAATAATAATAATAATTAACGGTTTATTGAAAGAGGCAGCCTAGAAGGCAATATACAGTTACATATTTGGAATGAGTTACATTACAAATAATATACAAGTAACATAAATGACACAAATGAGACATATAATAACTAGATGGGAAAAGCTCAAACTACAGTTCATTTCAACATAGTGACAGTGTAAGGAGCAGTGTTTACTGGGAGTGAATACACTGATTTATTACAAGTTATTGATAATTTTTACAATGGTTGGGACTGGGTGTTGTCTGTGTGTGTGTGTGTGTGTGTGTGTGTGTGTGTGTGTCTGTGTGTGTGTGTGTGTACTGTATGCATGTGTCTGGGGTAATATAATATGCCTGGTATAAGTTATGTTCACTCTGGGGTAATATTATACGTTGTTTGGGTCTGGAAAAATTATAGCACTGTTGACACCGAGAACCAATTTCGTTTACAACTTTTATGGGAGAGTTTTTATAATTAACTTTTCACTTTATAGATCGTTGAAATGCTGTTTTTGTTTAGTTTAGCGTAGCTTAGTTTAATCTAGTTTCATCTAGTTTAATTCATTTTAATCTAGTTTAATCAATTTTAAGCTAGATTAATATTGTTTAACCCATTTTCCTCTTATTTTAATCTATGTTAATCTAATTTCAACTAGTTTAATTAAGCTTATTCCATTTTAAAGTAGCTTTCAGTTTAATCCAATTTAAACTAATCTAATCTAATTTAATCCAAATTAAGCTGTTTAATCTAGTATAAACCATTTTAACCTAGTTTAATTTGGTTTAAACCACTTTAATATAGCCTCCACTAACAGTTATCAGTCGTCTACCACACCAGTCATTTAGACCGAGAAACCAGTAGGAGAGGATTTTATAATAAAATATGAATTTCCGGAGCTGGTGGCGGAGTCTCGGTGCGCCTCAACTGGTTTATCTGGTCCAGCCTTACAAAAAACCCGACTAACATAATGAGAGACCATGAGTGTAGTTGTGTGTGACGGGAAGGAAGGTGAGGTGGTGGGAAGGCTGCAGGGTAG